AGTAATTTTTAAAATAAACTTTGTCTAAACCGAGAAAATCAAAGCTAAAGTTTATGTAAATTAACATGATTTTATATCACATATATAACCACGACACGCTTATGATTTTTCTTTGTGTTTCGCTCCTGAATTATTAATGAGTTTTTTAAAGCCTGTATACTATACGGAGCTTGTTGCTAACAAGCAGATCGATCAGAGGCAAATTGGGACTATAGCATGCAGCAAGTGTATCAGAAAAGACAAGTCCATAGTACTATTGCGGAGAATGTATTATGAAAGGCCATACAAACAAACCAATTTTCAAAGTATATCTTTACACGCCTCGCCACTCAGTTTACTGACTAAAACAAAAGTGCTTATCTAAACAGTTTCTTAGTTTCTTAATACATATCAATGTAAGTTAATTTATAATCAATAATTTTTTAATAATATAGCTATTAATAAGTTCACAACACTACGTTTGTAAGTATATTATTTACTTCGTACATGATGTAGGCCTATATATATATATATATATATATATATATATATATATATATATATATATATATATATATATATATATATATATATATATATATATATCGTAAGGTATTATCAGTATTTTGAGATGTTTCTTCATTTATACATGCGTATATACGACAATAAGTTTGCATGTTAGTGTTTCGATCTTGGCGTAGAATTCGCGATCATATCAGGGATTAGGGAATGGGTTACAAATATATAACTGTAAAGTCTGCATATAAAATCTTATAAAAAAATACAGTTGAAAACGAATTGGAACGAACGTGCTGTAATGGCTATATGATGAAAAGCCGATTAGTTAGCCTAATTATGAGGTCTATTGACGTCTTAATTCCGTTATTCAGTTCTCATGTTTCAAACGTCGAGTGGGAAACGATTCTTCAAAAGCATTACGCCGGACCATTGATCAGATCGGTCTATACTGTAATATTAGTGTTATTAAACATAAGTCCTTGTATAGGCTAGTAATCGTTGTAATGTAGCCTATCCATACTATCATTCCTGATAATGACTAAAACATAATCAAAAGCTTCAAATATATTTAAAATATTCCTGTTCGAAGTTACCGTTGTTTTGTATTTTATCAAGATATGCAGTGTCCGTATTCAGTCATGTTTGACAGATAGCGCGACACCGCCGACACGTACTATCTTTTGTCTCTAGACATGAATGTTATTCAGTTAATCGTTCAATGATAGGCCATCAAAATTGTTCTATTCTGAGATAATTCTCTTTGTCACAAAATTATGACGAACTGTATATATACGTATATGTAAGACAAACATAATTATTTTAATGCACGTGCTTCCATGGACTCTAAACCTGACCAGGTCTTAGCCGTGAGAAAATTATTATGTGTGCTGAAGTCTCCCCCTCCCCCCTCCTCAAATTTCAATTCACTTCAGGAATATTCCATTGACCACAAATGTTTGTAATTTTGCATCCTCGTATTAATGTTTTACTCTAATCTCTTAGGGGAAGAGCTTAGCCTAGGCATGGATAATAAAATAAATGGATAGGACTCTAGCTGACGTAAGCAAAAACATTTTTGTTGTATCGCTATACTTTCCGCCTTAAAAGAGTAATGTTGAAGCATATACTGGTCTAATTGTTTTAAAAACATGCCTAAGCCACGACAAAGTGTTCAAGGTAAATGTTTTTCGTCTTTGTTTTGTATTTTTTTACATTTGTAGCTACGAAATTGGCGTCCCCAATTTTAACGAAATTTGGGATGCCTTTTCACTGTTTACTGCCTGAAATATTTGCTAAAATTCACTGGAAATACTTCATCGTAGAATGGCGTAGTTATATTCATTTGCTCTTGACAAAATGTTTAGCTGTATTATTGCTAAACATGCCGTTTTTGAGAATTTGGTTTGTAACTTGGTTTCAACATCCAATCACGCCATCAGCCCATTGAAAACATTAGGTCACGTCAGCTAGTTTCCTATCCATTTATTTTATTAACCATGGCCTAGGTGAGGGCACCAACTTCTACTTCTATAGCTCCCTTTAGTTTGCTGCGTCATTTAGTTTGGCAGTTGAAGTTTTATTGAATTTGAAGAATGCTTTTGTGTGAATTGAAAAGCAAACTCGCTTTTGAATAACGTAAGAAAACAACATAGTGGCCAAGGACCGAAAAATTACTGAAATATTTAGCAGCTATTGACGTGTGTTTCGCACGCAATCCTTGCAAAATAATTGACTAAATTATGGCGGGTTGAGCATATAAATATAAGATGCTTGTTGTTAACAAGCAGATCAGAAGCAAATTGGGACAAGTGTATCAGAAAAGACAACTCAAAAGTTCTACGTTTGTAAGTACAATATTTACTTCGTATACATGGTGTTTCGATATATATATATTATAGAGCATTATATTTTGAGATGTTCTTCATTTACACTTATACTACAATAAGTTTGTTAGTGTTTCGATCAGTGCGTTGCATAAAAAAGTCATATAAAAATATACCAATTGAAAACGAATTTGAACAATGTGCTATAATGATATATATATATATATATATATATATATATATATATATATATATATATATA